CTGGAAAAGTCAAAAATTTGCTAGAATTTATTTTTAATTGATCTTAGAAGTTTATTACTAAAATCTTGGAAATTTCAGAGTTTGAAAAGTTTTTATTTTTCAGACTTGGAAATTTCCAAGTTTTTTCTACAAAGTTTCTGAGATAAATCTCAAACTTTCTAAAATTTATTTAAAAAAAAAACAAAAAAACCTTGATATTATTTTTAGAAAAAACATTGGAATATATTTTAAAAAATGCTCTTGAGTTTGAACATTTAATTTTTTTTCCCCGTAGCAAATTTTCAACTTTTCAAACTCTTTTTCAAGAAAGAAATTCTGATATTTTTTGGTGGAAATATATGTATAATTTTTTCTGTCTATAATGGCCTTTATATGCCGTCATAGAAATCATTTGGAAAACGTTGTTTACAGTTGGAACCAGATATTTTTTTACATTTAATATCTTTATATTAAATTTCTTTCTCACCGTCTAAATTTTAAAATTCTCATCTTTATTTACTCAACATGCATTTAAAAAGGTAACATTTTATGCATAACATTGAGCTTGTGCAAAAAGTATGCAAGTACTTTTTGTGCACAAATCACTTTTGTACTTCATGTACAAGTACAGCTTGTGCATAAATTATATGCACAAGGTTGACTTGTGTATAATTTATGCTGTGTGTAATTTTAAACCTCTGGATTAGAGAAATACCACAAGAAATCCAACTTTGAGTGATAAATGCTTGGATACAATCGATTCATTTAACCATCCAGCCTGCAGAAATAACTTGTACCCTCAAATAATCCCATTCAGAGATTAGTGAATCAAGAAATTGCTGCTCCTATTATCTATTTTACAGTCGGTCTGAATTATTGCTGAATCGTTGACATCCTTTCTCTGAGAATAAAATGGCGCCTCCCACATGATTTTTCCTTCCCAGCTTCCAACTGAAAGAAACGAGAAGATGACTCACCGCCTCTGAAAACGGGGGAAAAGCTTTAAACAAACTTCCCTGAATGAAAAGTAACAGCAACTTTTCTTTCTCCTGACGTTGTCTTGGGAATGAGACGTGCACACACACTTTCCACTTGGCGTACAAGAGACTAACACTTGACACGCACTTTACATAACAAGAAGGAATAAGGAAGGTGGGTCTGAGTGGGAGGAAAACCAACCAAAAGCTCACTAGTCTGGATATTGTCACAGTGAATCACTCGGATCGGCGAGCTGAAAGCACAATAGGCAATTTGAAGTTTATGGAGGAGGAGCGGCCTGTGAAGCTTCTGAAGCCGACTAGTGAACGTAATTAGCAGGCACGCTCCGACTCTGATGACTGTGTCGAGGAGAAACTCCCACTTCAGCCTCATTCAGTCGCTTTGTTTCACCTGAATCGGCAGCAGGTGGCTGACGCTTCGTGATGTAAGAGTCAGGAATGAGGAGAGCTGCAGAAGTGTGCCAGCTTTCATCTCAGCCCTCGTCCCATTTCTACTGAGGCTGACCTGATTTCTGGGGTCTGTGCAAAGAAAATGTGTTGTGATCACTCAGTGAAATGGGCAAAGAAAGAGGAAACTGACTAGCTTTAAGGTGTGTTAACACTCATTGATTCGCTTTAATTAAACTCTCGTTTAAAGTTTGATTTGTTTGGACTATGTGAATGAGCATTTATGGCTGTTTTTCTACCTCATGGATTCAATTTGAATCAGGACAGAGTTGAAACATTGGTTACATTTACTGTTGAGAAAACAGTTCCCCTCCTCGCCTGTGGGGGCGCTGCACCAAGAACCACTGAAGAAAACGACACAAAAACTACAAAGACGCTGAGTGCAACTTCCTTCTTTACAAAATGTAAAAAAAGTGAAGTGGGGTAAGAATTTAGAGATTGTGGGATTTATCTTTAGCAAAAACCCACCAGCCATTTCTTTCACTAGCGCTAAGCTTGTATGTTTGTTTCGGTTGTATTTACCCAGAATTCCTTGGGCTGTAGCCCACTTCCTGCTTTTGCAACGTTCTTTGGTCTGCTTGGTCTGGTGCGGTTCAAATGCATATGTGAACACCAAGTAGACCAGAGACCTCTCAAAGGCAGGAAGTGCACCAAAAAACAGGGGATTCTGGGTAAATGCAACCAAAACAAACGTGCTAAGCTAGCACTAGCGGGAGACATAACTTGTGCAGAGTGAAAGAAAACCACAGCAGCGGAACATGCAACCAATGTTATTTATTGCCCTAAAATCTACTGCCCTGGCTGGATGGAGTTTCCCAGAATGCATTGCAGAGTCAACAGCATTGTAATGACCGTGGCACAATATTTTTTTTCAATTTAGAAAAACTAAACAGCCAAAAGTATTTTTTACTATTTGTCTAACTCTATTGGTGCAGCTAACTGTGGATTCATCTCAGAAACTGAACAAGTTATGACTCGTGTCGCCTTGTGGTTGGCGGTTTTATAAAAAAATTTAGCGAAAACGCTAAAAAAACTCCTTTATCCCCTGACAACGTCTCCATTAGTTTAGCCATTTATTTCAGTTATTTAAGCTAAAACTTCCTGTCAACCCAACAACACAGATTAAATTAAAATAATCATAAGATGAACTTTAACAGAATTATTGGCTGAGAAGTCAGAAGTTGTGTCTGCTGAGTCAGCAGTCTGTCCTCCAAACACCAATTAAATCATTGATGGTCAGATCATTGACATGCTGTGCTGATGACTGACAGGCTCTGCAGGTTCCCTCCTTAATTAATTGCCAGCGCAGCGGCCACACGTGGATACGGAAGAGGATTAGTGCCAACAAGACAAAAGATTGCAGTAAATTACAACTTTAAACTCAGAATTTTAACTCTATGTCAAGATTTTAATCAATAACCAAACATTCGCAGGTGTATGTTATGTTGTTAGTCTGAAAATAATCAAGTTTGTTCCTTCTTGATTGCATTTTAACCATTTATTTAGTGATTTTAAAGTCTTCAGTTTAGATCTGCTTGATGAGGAATGCACAACGTAAACAATTCTGATTCTAAGGAAAAAAAATCTAAATACTGAGATTGAAATCAAAATTCTGAGATTAGAATCTGTATTTCAAAAAATGTCAGAATTCAGAGAAAAAAGTTGGAATTTAGAATCAGAATCATGAGGGGAAAAACAGAATTCTGAAAAAGTGAAAATTCTAAAAAAAAAAGTCAAAATTAAATTTTGTCAGAATTCTGAAAAAATGTCTGAAAAAAAATTAAAATAAAATAAAATTCTGAGATTAAACTCCAAATTCTGAAAAGAAAATGTCAGAATTCAGAAAAAATGTCAGATTTTTTAAAGTAGTACTAATCTGTTTCTAAACATGTTAGATCACTCTCAGCTTTTAAACACAAAACATCCTGTAAATCAGTTTGTCTCTGAATGATTCAGAAAAATGGTTTCTGAGAGGTAGAGGCGATGAATCTTTCTGACAAACAGCGGGACGTTCTCTGATGCAGGTTCCCAGGAGCTGCCGCCACATTTAGGCACCAAAAGTCAACATTAGCATTTTCATTAACTGACTCTTGGAGAAGATTTCCCAAAGTATCCTGCAGCCTGAAGCAATATCAGACATTTATCGACTCCTGGGAAGGGTTGCCATATTTGAAGCTTGATGCATGAGAAATTTAAATCTATTATCCTCCTTAATTAAAGCTAATATTTCAAAGAGTGCTTTTGTTGCTACGGTGAACTCAGGTAGCCTCTAAACAGCGCATCGCTTTATTCTCACCAGTCCCTGCATGTGTTGTTACTAGTTTCTTATTAAGCATAATTGCTTCTGTTTTTAATTACTTTTCAATCACAACATGTAATTCTATTGTTTAATGTGATGGTGGTGAAATGAAGCAAATCCAAACCTCCTGCAGAAACACTCAGAGGAACGCAACGCCGACTGTTACAGTCTTAATCTCCTTGGAGGGATTTCACAATTATAATAATTTTCATTCCAAGACTTATTCTTTTTGATATTAAAAGTTAATTTAAAGAGCAATAGAGTGAAAATACATTACAGAAACTTTTAATATTTAAAATTAAATTAGATTTGCTAATAAACAATAATATAATTTAGCTTCTTAGGCTGCAACATTAGAGGAAATAAACTGTTAAACAGAGTTGGCATGTTTTTTCTACTTTACTTATAATTCCATCTATTTGATTTTTTAAAGTTTCATTCCGTGTCAGTGTCTCGGACACCTGGTTCTAATTTTTGAATTACCACACCTTCTTTTTGTCAGTTTACTTTTACCTCAGTTTTCCTTAAATTTTATTATTTTCTCACACTAACACGTTGTTAATAAAGTATTTACACCTTTGCACTGAAGAAATTGTAATTTGTATTTTTATGGTTTTTTTTTTTGACAAACTGGATTTGTTTATATCAAAAATCTACATCAAATATGACTGTAATTTAATGCCTTGAAATTGGGCCTCTGTCTCTTTAAGAAGCTCCTGCTCCTTCTGAAACTCTGCCTTCAGGAAGTCATCCCAACATGGCTCCTCCTACAATGAGCTCAGCTGCTCCACCAGCTGTTTGCTAATTGCTGCTGGCTAGTCTGAAGGAGCTGAGCGGGGGAGGAGCTTCGTCTTGAAGGCGGGGCTTGGCCCACCCAGATGAATGGTTGCAATGGAGATGAAAGGATTTCTCAAACATGCATGAAACAATTAAATCAACACTCCAGGAGTGTTGATTATGAGGAAATAAAGTTTGAACATGATGCAATTATTTTTTTTAAATCAATTTCAAACAATACTGTCCTTTTAATTTCAGTTGTTAAAGATAAAATCTTTCAGTTTATAAAAGATATATGTGAGTCCGGTTTTGGTTCTACTGTAATTAGTTTGGATGAACCAGAGCTGAATCTGGGTCATTCTGGTTGTTTCCAGATGTTAACCAAACATCTGGGCAGTGAGAGCCGCTCTGAACATGCAGTACCACACCGCCCCATCAGGATGGGCATTTCTTCCCTCTCCGTCCAGCCTGCCAGCCTCCGGAGCGCAGCGGTGCAGCAGCGGTGCAGCAGGGGTCCAGGCTGCCCGCCGGAGCCGCTCTCAGCTCCGCCCGCTTCCTGTCTCCGTCCGCAGACGCGTTTAGCGCATTGAGCCTGGCGGCACAAGCAGGAGGAGTGGAAGCGGTGGGAGGGCTCTCTGCTGCGCTGTTGTAATTTTTTCTCCCCTGTTCTCTCCTTGTGGGTGGAAAACACTGGTGAGGAGCCACGCCGCCCACTAAACAAGCCCAAACGCGCACCAACTGCTTCCCAACCCGGAGCGGAGCCCCGACGGACGGACAGACAGACAGACGGTGAGAGTTGTCTCTGCGCTGTGACATTTAGTGGCTTTGTCTGCAGACTTTTGCATGTGCATCCTGTTTGTTCGCTGATGGTTCCAGATATTAAGATGCATTGAGTCGCAGTTTTAATCATCTCTTTGTTTCGTGTCTGTCGCCTCCGGGTTGCTGTTTCCAGGCTCCTCTTGCTCCTCTGACCAGTTTCCACCCTGATTGTGGCTCTGATAAGCTTCATCTCTCTTCCGCCACTTTGCAGCCGCATTCCCCTTCAAAAACAACCAGCTTTTGTTGTTAAATTGATTGAGATTTATTATTTCTAATAGGGAATATCTGCTATGCTTAAGATATAAAAGCTTTTTTAATGTAAAATTAGTCCATATCTTGATTTCTGGATCTTCTGCTTTGCCCCCTTTAACATCTGCTGACTCCATCCAATATTTCAGACACTTTAATTCTCAGTCAGAGTAATTGGCTGCAGGATTAGTGTGTTGGATGGGAGTTTGAGCCCATTTCGCTCCTTGTTCTACAAGCTGTAAACCTTTACTGCTTGCTGAGCACTTTTCCTCTTCCCTGGGTTTCTTTGTGCCCCTCTGTGGAGGCGACAGTCAGCAGGTTGCTCTCTGTCAGATGGAGGAGTTGCTCTGTTGTTTGGACAAGATGTGCTGAGGTCAGAGGCGCAAAAACTGCGGATGCGCTATAAGGGCGCCATGCTGGAGGGGCGCCAGAATGTGGCAGAATTAGTTCTAGTTGGCATTTTCTGTATTTGTTCAATCCAGATAAATAATTTGGCTTCTGGTTTCCTACAAATACATCTTTATCCCTTCAACAGTGGGAACATATTCACCTCTTCGACTTTTATGCTTTTTTTCATCATTTTGTCTCAAATTTGCACAACCACAGAATTGAAGCTTTATCAAATGTTCATGCAAAATAGTTCAAATTTAATCAGGTTAGTTGGAGAGCATCTTCCAACAAGATTTTTTCCGTTTTGCTACAGATTTCCCCATTGAATTCTGGCTCAGACTTTGACTAGGACATCTGACACATGAATACAAGTTGATATGAACCGTCTCTTGTATCTACAGCTGCATGTTTATGGAGGGTGTGTTGCTGGGAGGTGAATCTCCACCCCAGTTTTAATTCTTCTGCAGCCTGTTACGGTTTAGTTTTCACCCAAACTCCAGTGTGTTTGTCTGGAAAGTCTGGTTTGTTTGTGGAGGTTTGAACTCTGGTCCGCCTGCAACCTTCGGTTTCCATTTGGTTTCCATTTGTTTGTAGTGAACTCTGATGTGGTTTGAATGCCAGGCGGACCGGAGGCGGTTTAAAAAGCAGGAAGTGGACGACAGTGCAGGGCATTCTGGGTAAATAGAATCAAAGGAAATGCTAGAGTCTAGCGCTGGGGGTAGAAATGGCTTGTTTGTGTTTTTTTATTTTTATTTTTTTTACCACACCACTAAAATTGAGCTCTGTTCTATTTTTGTTTATATTTTGTTAAAAAGGAAGTTGCGCTCAGCGTCTTCTTTTTTTTTCTGGTAAGAAGTGGTGATTAGACAATACATTTAATAGTTTCCAATGAAAAGTATGAAAAAGTCTTAAGGATCTAGCAATTAATCATGATTAATTAATTATTGATCTAACTTTCAACTAATTTAGTCATCCATTAATTGCTAACTGGACTTAAAAGAGTAAAAAATGCATTTTTTTCCTGAAAGAACAAACCACTCAGACCAGTAAGGAATCCAAAACATATAAACGTTTTGCATTTAAGATGAAAAAATCCTTTTAAAAACAGTTTTAGCTTCAAATTTTTCAAGTTCAGTAAAAAATAAATCACATATTAAGCCTCTTTTGCTGTTCAGTTATGAATTAATTAATCAAAAAAATATTCAACAGTACGTATATTCATGTTAGGAGGATTTTTTAGCTGCATCATTTGCTATCAAGCATTCACCGAATGAATGGTGTTACTACATTTTTGCAACAATTTTTTTTCATATTAAAAAATACTTGATTTACTTGTTTAGTTGCATCTTTTAATGTATTTCTAATACTGCATAAAAAAGGTTTGAGCGATTAAATGAAAAAACAGCAAAACGTGCCCATTTTTATCTGATTAATTGATTAATCGTCAGAATAATCGATTAATTGTTAAGGTGTTTTTGTAAAGAAATGTAACATTTGAGCTCCAACATCAGGCTAATAAAGAAGCTGCTGTACTATATTTTCTTTTAAAGTCTTTTGTTGTCTGGCTCTGTGTTGCGTTTCTCTCAGTTGGACCTAATGGACTCTGCTTCACATCAACACCATTTACCTGCTTCACTTCTCCGTTATCGACAACCAATAATCGATGGGAGAAATCTGCTGCTACACAGAGTTTTTGTTTCCAAATGAACTTCCTAATTTTCCTTTACATCGTGATTCTGCTAGAAAACACAAGCAACATGCAGTAGATGCATGTGGATTTTTGCAAACCTCATCCAGGCTCTTCCTTTATTTTTTGCTCCTCATTATGCAGATCTATAGGATTCTGAACCCTCAGGAGGAATATGTCACTTAATGTCGCCCACACTTAAAGATATTTGCTTTATCTCACTGCTGCCTGACTCGTGTGAGGAGCCAGAGGATAGAAAGCCAAACATTGCCTTTAAATTTTATTAAGCAGCTAAGTTGCAGACGCGTTCGCTGGTTTAAATTTCTCCCACTGAGGTTAACTTGTCCTTGCGTCTGTTTCTGTCTCTGTTACTTTTCTGTCTCTGTTGGGTAATGGGGAAGATTCAGTTTTACTGTGGTGGAAAAAAACAAGATTTTGGCTTCTGAAATGTATTACACTAAAAAATATATGACCATCAGAATAATCGTGACTAATCGATTATTCAAATAATCGTCAACTAACTTAGCAAACGATTAATCGTTAACTGAGGTGTTTGGACTCAAAAAGGCTATTTGTTCAACAAACAACATATTTAGAGCAGCAGTTAAGCCAGAAATGTACAAAATACATGTTTAGTTATATAAAAATAGTACAATCCTCACAGAGATGCCAATAAGCATGTCAGCAAAAGTTTTTGTCTGCTGTTTAGGCTGTTTGTCACACGGCCGTGGCGTTGGGAGACCAGAAGTTATGTGTATTAATTACCATTGAAGAATAAAGGAGTAAATTTACACCAAAGAAGTCTCAGAAAAGTTGTAGAAATAACTGACATTTTTTTTGGGCTCGTAAAGTTAAAACATTTTCAACGTTTGGAAATTTTCTGAGTTTGAAAATTAGAATATTTTTAAACTTTTGGAGCTCAGTGATTTGTTTCTGGAAAATTTCTGACATTAATCTAAAAATTACGGCTCCCTGTTTTTGTCAATTGTTGACTGGTGTTTTATGTTTTTATGATTTACTGCCCTTTGACCTGCCTTGTTGCTGAAATGTGCTACAGAAATACGATTGATTGATTGATTGATTGATTGAATGGCTCTAATTCACCATCATATGAAACACAACCAGACTCATTAATTCTTGTGTCATTTTAAATCTGGGATTTCAGTTTTACATTACCGTTACATCGTCTGGCGGTGCCACAGCGCCACCAGTTGGTGTGGTGGACCTTCTGCACCATCTGAGTGCATTTTTAGTTAAAACCGCGTTTGTTTCTGTGTGAACAAAAGCTGCAGGAAGGTGTTTTTGATTTTCAGTTGAATTTGTCCGGATTTAGTTTCTGCCCTCTGCTGCTTGTTGCGTTGGCCTTTCTGGGTCCTTCAGTTCGCTCCGCCTTGCTCGCCATACATCGTTTCCTGCTTTTTTCTCTCCCTGCTTTACAGAAGTCGTCGTCCTCCTCCTCCTCAGCCTCCTTCATTAATTTCTCCTCTCCCAGGATGCTGGCAGGTCCACTTCCACCTTCCTCTGGTGATTCATTTGCATCTCTGCTCCACTCGGCTGCCCAAGTGTTTTCTGGGAGTCAGGTGGCTAATTGGTTCCCATCTGTTGGGAGAAAACGGCCTTTACGGTTTCGTGGGTGATTTCTGTCAAGAGTTTTTAGCATATTGATTGAGTTTGTTTCCTCTCTACCCAGATATAATCCCATTTCTTTCTGGAGTGTTTATCTTTTTTCCTGTTTTAGTTAAAGTTTTGAACATCTTAGTGGAGTCCGGATTGGACATATCTTGGTTAATTTAAAGCATCTTTTGTTTCTCTTATCTAAGTTGTTGCTTGTGTGTTTTTATGGTTGTTTTGATCTTACGAGAGCATGAAAGACCTGCACCTTCCCTCCGCTGTGTTTAGTAATTTTCTTATCTGCGCTGAGAGTTTCGCTCTGTGTGAAGATGAGGTTGAGAGAAGGAAGTTGTTTAGTCTCGCTCAAACCCAGCAGACCAAAACAGGAAGTGACAGGAAACCCTGAGTCGGTGCATATGCAGCAGACAGCCAGTATATCAGAACGTCAGATTTTACAGTGCTGACTTTTAGCTTTGCAGTACAATTCATGCTTGTTGACAATTTTCAGATTTTGCCATGTCACATCAACTGTCAGTGTGTGCAATACGCCAGAGGATCAGTTATTCTGGCGATTAATGTAAAATGTAAATGCTTTCAAATTCTCCCGCTGAGGTTAACCCGTCCTGGCATCGAACCCATCTGTGTTTCTGTCTTTGTTAGTTTTCTGTCTCTACTGGAAAATGAGGAAGATTCAGTTTTACTGCGGTGAAAGAAAACAAGATTTTGATTTCAGAAATTGTGTTACACTGAAAAACATATTACTGATTAATCAGGTTAATCGTGATTAATAGATTGTTGACATAATCGTCAACTCATTTAGCTACTTATTAATTGTTACACAAACTCAAAAAAGGCAATTTTCTGAAAGACCAACATGTTGAAAGGAGTAATTAAACCAAAACATTTTGCATTTCACATTTCTTTGTCTGTAAATCTGTTCTACCCACAACTCTGGCTTTTAATGACTTTGGTTTAAAAGTTGATTTTTTGCAGTTTTCCAGTTTTTATGGAATAATTTTATTAATTTTCCACAACAAAACGACACTAAAAGCACCAGTAATATTATTTGAGAGCTTTTGTTTTGCATTATTTTTCACAAATGTCAAAATCCGAGAGAAAAAACTGCTTATTTTGTCGTTCAGATTAAAAAAAGCAAATTTTTAAATCTGTGTTTAAAATAATAATGGAAGAACACGTTCTAAAAGATCAGTAAACTTTAAGCCCTGGAACTGGACGATATTTTAAATATCCAGAATAAATAAAGAAAACAACAGAAAAAAACCTAACAAATTGAATTTTAAAGTATCTGCAAATGAAACTGTCCTGCATAAAAAGGCTTGTTGAGACCAAAACATCAAACTGAAGAGTTTTATCATCCAGTTTTTAATTGGGAAAAGAAAAATGATGAATCACACAAATAGAAATGATTGAGTTTGTTTTAATTTATCATTCAATTATCCAATTAATTGATTTATTGTGAAAGGCTGAACTGAAAAGTCAAATTAAAACTGTTACAAACATTATAAATGGAAAGAAAGTGAAATTAGGAATTAAGATTTAGTGTTTTTGCAGTTTAACGTCTTTGTTCGGCTTTACATTCCCAACTTCTCTCCTCTAACGGATTTTGAAAGCAAGGTAAATGATTTGCCTCCGACAATACGCCACGCATTAGCCCTCACCATTCGTCACTGTTTACAATCCACCCAGCAAGCGGAAAATAACGGCATCCATCATCAGCAGAGACGCTTCCCTCTAAACAACAGGGCCACCGGGAGCGACGGTGATGGATTCAGATTGGATCCTTCTCAGAAATTCCTCGTCACAGGTTCCCTGCGTTCATCAGAAACAGAGTCATTAAGGCCCGATAAATGCGGCTCTGCATACGCGATCGGGCCATTTAGGATGACGGAGGCTGGATGGAGAGACGGGGAGCAGGAATGAGGAAACAGTCTGAACACTCTGGAAGTGGAAACTGCCTTTCAGAGGCTGGTAGGTGCAATTTTACAGAAAGTGTGTCAGTTTTTCTATCATGGGAAATTAAATCCATCCCATTAATGCAGCGCTGAGTTTCAGTCTCTCTGTATGAATCACAGCACAAATATTTCTCTTTTTTTGCAAATAAAAACCTGAAAAGTGTGGCATGCTTTTGAGTTAAGAGTTTGTAGAATCACTGTAGTTATAACAGCCAGATTTTCAGCATTTTTTAAATTTAATTTGCAAAAACACAAAATATTACCAATTGTTTTTGTTTAGTTTCTCGTGCAAATATCTTCAAACTCTTCAAATAACAGAAAACTAACTTAGAAGTGACTTTTCAGAAAGTAGGAGCTTGTTTTAAGTCAAATATTTCTTAATATTGATACAAAAAATGCCAGTTCCATTGGCAGATTATTTAATGTGTAACAATAAATTTTAAGTGAAATAATCTGCCAGTTTAAATCATTATAAAGGGATTATTTACATAAAACCAGCACAGAAGACGATTCTGTTAGCGGTTACGGTGGAGTGATTTAATAAGGCATTCATAAACGTTTTCCAAAATGTCTGAGCCAGAGTTACAGCCTAATGATCCGGGGATGATTGACGATCGGTTTGAAGGTGTGTGTCGCTAAGCAGCGGGATCAGGTGATGATCCATGGGATTTATATGTGAGCCAGGTGCGAACTCTGATTGATGTTTGGTATTTCAGACTGCGTTAGAAAACCTGTGAAGGTCTTCATCGTACAACAAGGCCCTGCAGTCCTTCGCTTGACCTCTTAACCTTTAATGGACTGCAGTCAAACCTCGCCACTTAGCTTTGCTTTATAGGTCTCAGCAAATCCTGACCATCTGTTTCATGGTTTAGACAAAAGTTCATCTTCCTCGTCGTGTTGCAGTTTGATCGGGCATCAACTCGACACCTGACCCACTTATCTTTTATTCCAACATCTGGAGCTGTCTGCCTCGCCTCAGCAGCACACGCAGGCCTTCATTATTTATCACGACTTCCCACAGTCGGTTACAGCTGCTCTTCATGAAATCATCAGAGAAAATGACTGCCGCCGCCGCCGCAGCCGCTTTTATGGAAGCGTTCAAACACAAACACTTTTTCATAATCATTAGATCCAAATTGTATGACGGCGTGTTAGAGTCGCTGTAGACGGAAAACAAAAAGATGGGGTAAATTTCCGTAAAGAAAAAAAAATTATGCATTTGAGATTAATCCTAGAAATGTTCAAGAAAAAATCAGAAATTCCTAAGAAAGGGGAAAAAAACTACAATTCTGGGATTGATATCAGTAATTTTCTAGAAAAAACATGGACATTTCTGAAAAAAAAAGTTTAAAATTTGAAAAAAAAAAGCTCATATAATTTGAGATTAATCTTGGAAATCTCCTCAAAAACCCCTGGAGATTTCAAATTCACATTCTGAAATTTTTTGATGTTTGAAACTCAGAAAAGTCCATGATTTCTCAAGAAAACTTCTGACATCTTATAATTCAACATAGTTTTCTCGTTATTTTTTTATTTTTATTTTTTACATCTTTTCAAACAGACATTTCTGTTTAATGTTTTTATTTTACAGTTTTTTTGACACAACGACCTCCGAAATTTCTGTTAGAATTTTTTTACATTAATGTCTAAATTTCTGAGGGGAACGATTGGAAGTGGTAAAAAAAATATTGGGATTTGGGTTGCATTACATAATCTGACCCGTAACGAACAGATCGGATCATTTTGGAGTTTCACTGTCGTCTGAGTTGATGCTCACTAGCTGTATCTCTCCATCATCCACTCACTATATTAAAAACTTTACTCTTTACAATGTTTTGCCTGAAAAAAACTCTCAGGTTTTAGAAAACTGGCTAAAAATACACCGTTTCACATATAATTTTATTTGATAGATATTACCAATTCTTCCAAACCTGTTTGGCTGTTAGCCTGTGAATCCATTACAAAATTGATCCATTTATTTCCATCAAAAATATGCAACTGCAAATCCCTGTAATGACCTCAGCATTGCAGTCTGATAACAATGGTGAACTGGAACAATCCCAACTGTATTAACAACACTCAACCAATGCCTCTTCTACTCAAAACTGAACATTATGTCCCTGTAAGGAGATTTGCATTAAGTTTTGTCACAGTGGTGGAGATCGTTGGTGTATGTTTCAGGATGACCTCAGCTTTTCTGTGAGGACGTTTTGTAGAAAAGTGTGAGTCACAACACACCTGCTGTCACTGCCGCTGCTTCATTTTCAGCGTTAGAGAGCAGGAACCCAGAGGGGTGTGGTGTGACTGAGGTGAGGATGAGTAATCAGGAAAAGTTTAGAGGAAGGGCAGATGAAAGGCAGACAAGCTCTTTGAATTTTATTTACATTTATTTGAAGCACAGCATAAAATCTGAATATCTGGATCTGGATTTCTGATGTTTTGGAGATGGTCATCTTTTGGTATTTGGAAATGTTATTTTTTGTACAGAATTCTCTATTTTTGCTTTATACTTTTGTATTTTGGTTCAATTTGGTCAATAATGTCTATGTTTTCTGTTTGAATATCAGTTATTTTGCATATGTTTTTTATTTGGAATATTATGTTTTTGTGTATTTGGCAAGCAAGTTTTGTTGCTATAAAGATAGTTAGCTTGTCTTGTTGCTAGTTTTGTTCCTAGCAACAAGGAGTGCCGGTGCAGATAGATTTAACTGATAGATTTAACTGAGTGCACTAAAACCAATGGCGCCTCCTGTTGACGGGGTTTAGGTTATGTTAGCTATCTAGCTAGCTTTGTTTCTATCTAGATAGCTAATTTTGTCAGTAGTTAGCTAGCTAGCTAACTTTTTTGCTAGCTTGATAACTAGTTTTGTTGCTAGCTGGATTACTAGGTAGCTTTGTTTCTATCTAGCTAGTTAGTTTTGTCACTAGTTAGATAGATAGCTAACGTTGTTGCTAGCTAGATAACTAGATTTGTTGCTAGCTGGATTACTAGGTAGCTTTGTTTCTATCTAGCTAGTTAGTTTTGTCACTAGTTAGATAGATAGCTAACGTTGTTGCTAGCTAGATAACTAGATTTGTTGCTAGCTGGATTACTAGGTAGCTTTGTTTCTAAATAGCTAGTTAGTTTTGTTTCTAGTTAGATAGCTAGCTAACTTTGTTGCTATCTAGATAATTAGTTTTGTTGCTCCATAGATAGCTAGCTCGTCTTGTTGCTAGTTTTGTTCCTAGGTAGAAAGCTAGCTAGCTTTGTTTCTATCTAGATAGCTAGTTTTGTCACTAGGTAGACAGCTAGCTAACTTTGTTGCTCGGTAGATAACTAGTTTTGTTGCTCGCTGGATTACTAGGTAGCTTTGTTTCTATCTAGCTAGTTAGTTTTGTTTCTAGTTAGATATATAGCTAACGTTGTTGCTAGCTAGATAACTAGTTTTGTTGCTAGCTGGATTAGTAGGTAGCTTTTGTTGTCACAAAATGTGTGATTACTTATAGACACTATATTTATGTGTATCAGTGCTGTTGTTCTCTTGCCTTTCACCGCTTATCTTTTATTTCACCACTTCATATTTCCAGCCGGGTCTTTGTGAGCTTCGTCCATTTGCTCCATAATAAAGCCGTAGTGTCTCTGGATTTACCGCCGCTCAGCGCTGCCAGTGATTCTGTCCCCTGCTGTCAGATTTATACACTTGGCATTCGTTCCACACATCATTGCTGGACATAAAACAAGCGAGGATGCAAGAGGAGAAGGTGTTAAGATGAATCATTTTTCTTTTCTTTTTTTTACATATTCATCCTGAACATGATTGCTGCATGTATATCAGATTTAAAAAGCTTTTCAGCACTGAAGAGGTTTTTCTGACTTTACCTTTGTTGTTTTTGCTCTACTTGCTGTTTGCTCTGAATCAGCAGGATGACAAACCGGGCCGTGCTGCGTCCCCTTCTGCTACATTAGGCGCCTCAGTGGCTGTGGATTTCCATGGAGGCCGGCGCTGTCTCGCCAAGCACCTTGCTGGTGGGGAGGTTGACGGCAGCATGTGGCGCCAGTTGACCCCTTTGAGACGCTTTAATTAACCCACACAGAGAGAAACACACAGATTCAGCTACATGTGCAGGAAACATTTAACAAGGATGAAAAACTGGGTCAGTATCCGATATTATTTTATTGATTATTGTAGGGCTGGGCAAGAAATCGCAATATATGACGAAATATAACCATCAGGATCAAATTTTATGTTTTAATTGCAAAAATGAATTCATCATTACGGAAGATGATCAGTGTCACTGAAAAAAGGATAATTCATATTTTCCTCAGAATTTGGAATTTTGACTTTATTTCAAAATAAATCAGAATTTATTTATTTGATTGAAGCTGAATTTTATAATTGTGACTTTTTCTCAAAATTATAACTTTTTTTCTGATTTCAATCTATGACAAAATCCAGATTCAGATTTTTTGCCTCATAATTAAAATTTTTCTCAGAATTTTGATTTTCTAATAATTCTAACTTTTTCAGAATTCTGACTTTTTTTTTAAAGAAACTTTCTTCTCAGAATTTTGAGAAAAAAGTCAAAATGTTTTATTTTTTTTACCCTAAACCATTCCCATGCATAAAGCTACAGTATTACAAAGTAAAATGACAATAAAGTTTTAATATCAGGAGAATGAAGTAGTAATGTTCTGAAAATTCAAACATAAAAAATGTAAGCTATTTTTCTTGTAATTTTAAGACGTTCTTTTTATGTTTCTCTTGATTGAAGTGATCCAACAAAGAACTGGATAAAAAGTGCAGCTAATGTTGCCATTCATCAACGTTTCCTCATCCAGATGTCACCCTTTGGTGTTGATCTTCGGTATTTGATGTTCCACCCCTCTTGGTTCCCCCTCCCGTTTGTTTGAAGGACTTTTCATCTGTTTGCTGAGCTTTAATGAATCCATGCAGAGCATAATCCTCAGATCTGGATCTGAAGCACATTTCACATCCACATCAAACCCAGTTAAAGCGCTAAACTTTCCATTGATGATCCATCCTGTCTGTCTCTTTGGGTGTTCCTCCACTTCCTCGTTCGTCTTTGTCTTAATGGGACAGCTGATTGTTTTCCTCCTTGTGAGCATGTTTCCACACAATTTGAATTAATTGGATTGTAAATTGATCGCACTTTGGAGCTCAGACCCTGGAAGCCGGAGCATCGGCTGCATACAGCAGTTTAATCTGAATGCTAAATGTTATTAAAAACCTGCACTGCTTCCTCTGTGTAGGACAGTGTGTACCTGGTAATGAGAAAAGAGCCCCACGGGCCTGTTGCACTCATTGTGCGCCAGCATGGTATAATTCAGTAATTAATTGCCTTAGTGCCTGGATGGCGCTGTAATGGTTGGGAGATAAATAACACAACCTGCTGGTTCTGGGTCCATACCAAGATTTCCGAACCTTAACCTTAAGAAGCGGGACGAGGAGTCAGACTGTAATGTTTTTATAATGAGAAGAAGAGCTGCAGGCCAGTGACGCACAAAGTCAGTTTGAAATAAATCACTGTCTGAATTTACGTTCAAAGATTGTTTGCGTTATTGATCAGTTTTTAATTTAGCCTGAAACCCTTTTGTGCAAACTGGAGAGAAAGAAGGATTGGTCATCACAAACTGGCAACATCTCAATTGCAACTGAAATGATTAATCTGATTAATTATGATTAATCAATTATTTAAATAACTGTCAACTACTTTAGTAATCAGTTAATTATCAGAATAATCAATTTTATAAGTAAAAATAATCTGCCATTAGAACTAGAACTTTTTTAAAATCAATATTAAAATATTGTTGATTCAAAACAAACTCATATTTCTTGCTAAAAAGTTGCTTGTAAGTCGGTTGTTTTATTCCAAGTGTACTAAGATATTTGCACTGAACTGAACCAAAGTATTTGGTCAGATTTTGTGTTTTTGCAGTGAGGTGGTAGTGAGTTTCCACCTTCGCTCTGCCAATAACTTGCCTGAGAAAAACAAACAAATCCAGGAAATGGAGTCGTGACGCACCAGCAGACGGCCAAACACCAAGTAACGTTCTATCGGACAAAACAGGAAGTAATGATGGCCGACTCCATTCAGGTCCAAACCTGCAGAGTCTGAGCCAAGAGCTCCTGGAAACCTGCTGCTATTGTTCTGCTTTGTGTTTTCAGACAGGTTCTGTTCGCCTGGCCCAGTGGGCTGCAGGTGCTGAAACTGAATCAAAAACAGTTTTGGGTTCTATTTTCTACTCACTCAGGTAATCTTTTTTTTTTTTTTAATTAATCAAAATTCGGTTACTAATGTTTGTAAAAACAGCTCAAATGCATAAAAAACTTTTTTCTGACAAATATTTTATGATTTTTGCCTCCATCATCTAGTTACTTCTGCACCGTTACCTAGCAACACCAGCCCGTTACCTAGCAACCAGAGTTCCAGCACGTTTGGTCAGCTGGTTTTTTGCGCTGTGCTGGAAGAGAAAAGTGTTTCGTTGTACTTACCATCCAGAAACCACCTGCTGCATTTTTGTTGGCTGTGCAGCAGGTTCCACTTTTGCTTTTCAAAGACATACGGTTATATAATTGCCGTTTTCATGCGTGAGTGTAAATATTGAGTTCGTTCTGAACTCAACTGACTGAAATCTTATCTAAGAATGACTTTATGCAAATCCTGTAACTAACATGTTTTGTATAGACCATAGAGCAGCCCAACCTGTTCCAGGAAGCTCAAGAGGTCACCTTTGAGTCTGAGACAGTCATCAGCTGGAGTGTGCAGTTGATGTTTTGAATCATTTGCGGGCGTTTACTTTAGTTTTCTTTCTTTCTTTGTTGCTACTTTGCCGTTTCTCTTTGAGACTCCCGATAACCCGGTAATTCCGTCGCACTGATACGTTTTCAGGTCCGGGCCGTGTCTGAATTTGCTCTGACAGAATTTTAAATGTCACCCATCTGAATCCCGCTCGCCCATTGTGCATCTCTATTCTTCTCATCCCGCCCGCCGTGCTTCCACCGCGGCGGCTCTGCGGAGCGGCGGACGCTCCTCACAATGGAGATGACAGGATAAAAAGAGAAAGAGAGAGGCGAGGAATGAGTGAAGAGGCAGAGGAGAATGGGAGGAGATGTGAAAAGGCCATGGAAGGAGGATAAGCCGCCGTGTCTCTGTTGTCTTGACATTTCTCTCTGTCTCCCCTGAGAATGAAAACCCAGATATAAATGTTCCAGACTGATGATGGAGCAGAGGAGGAGGAAGAGGCGGAAAGGTTTTAGTCGACGTTGTCTCTGCACGATCCGTTTTCAAAAGAAGTTCTCATGTGACGTCGCACTGCAGGAACTTTGTAGCTGACAGCCATCTTGGTAGGTGTCCGTAACGGTCTTGACAGTTAATAACAATAAACAAGCCACATTCTGGTCTGATGGTAACTGACGTAACTTTCTGTTGCTCTACAGTCCAAAGTTTCAATATCAATTTAATTTTGTTAAAACTTGAAGTCGAGGTTCATCTGCGCTTGCCTACCAAGATGGCGGTTCAGCAGTGTGGGTCACTTCCTGTTAAGTCTTAGTGTTGAAATACTTCCAGGAAAGTGTGTCATTGTAATCGCAAAAAATAGTGTATGATTTAAAAAGAATAACAAGAAAAAAGATACGAACGGTTTTGATAGACTGCTAAATATTTAGATTGTAAATGAAATATTTTAATATTTGGTGTCAAACTAGATATTTATATCTGAATGTGTAGATTTCTAACGACATATTTTATTTGAAGTTAAATATTTAGCTCTAAGTTAGATATTTATTTTGCTAGATATTCAGTTCCAAACCTTATATTTATTTTACAAACTGACATAAAATTTTCAAACAAAATATTTATTTTGCAAGGAATTTAATATGAAAACTCATATTTGAAAGTTAAATGTTTAGCTCTAATTTAGACATTTTATTTCCAAACTAAATGTAAATTTTTACAAACTAACTTTAAATGTTCAAACTAAATATTTATTTTCAAAACTAAATATTTAATTTGAAAGTTAAATACTTTAAATATAAATTTTTAGTTTGAAACTGTGACATTTACAAATAACATTTTAAAAATATGACTGTGAAAAATAAACAGCCAATTTTTAATGACATTTAAAGTAAATAATTGGTGTGAATCTTTTTCCTGTTTTATGAACTTTACGCTTCTGGAGAAAGTCAAGCAGCGACACAGAGACTCGGATATTGAATGACTGAATATCATATTCATGTCTCGCAGTGAAAGATGGAACTAAAGGGTTTTGGCCTCAGCGCTTTGGGTCGGACTAATTTGTTTAGGAGGCCCTGAATCCGCCGCTGAATGAATCCGCCGCCGAATGAATCCGCCGCTGATGCTGCGACTTTATTGTGGCGGCAGCTGTTGCCGGTCGCCATGGCAACGGCAGGGTCCCACAGGTGAGAAGCGCATTGATATTCAGGTTTGCAGCAGGTGCTGTTTGTCCACGCAGCCGGGCGGACGCTCACCTGCTGGACGGCGCAGGAAGGTGGCTGCCGGCTGCTGGTGAAGAATGGGGCTGACCTTTAGCGCCCGCTGGGACAGCCGGGGACAGCGGGGGGCGGGGACAGCGGGGGGCGGGGGTGGGGACAGGCGGGGGCGCGGGGACAGCCGGGGCGCGGGGGCGGGGACAGAAATTACTCCGCCTTTTATTTTATTTAAAGCTGAGGCCCGTTTGGAAGAAATCTGAAAGTCTGGAAGGAAATGAAAGTTGTGCTCAAGTCGGGATGGAAAGAGGAAGGAAAGAAAAAGAAAGAAAAATATTTAGATTTTAAGAGTTTATTCTGTCTGTCTGAGTCTGTTCAACATCCATCCGTCTGTCTGTCCATCCATTTATCATTTCTATGCTGATGATATTCATCTCTGCTTTTCTTTTCCTTCAGCTGAATTTTCTGCGTTTTCCTCGTTGGTTAAATGTTTGGTTGTGTTGAATTAACTTTCCTCTGACTTCAGTCTGAACTTTTGTCCGACCCACTGAAGCCTTTTGACCTAATTTAGGTTTTCACAGAGTTTTTCCTCTTCCTGCCTTTTCAAGCAGCAGATTTATTTTCTTTACCTTCTTTCTGTCATTATAAGTGGATTTAAAGTGGACAAGAAATAAACAGAAAACTAGA